ACCTGTGAGGCCTCCTCCAAACAGCATTATAACCAGACTGTATCATTAAAACTACAAGTACCAGTTCTAGATCCTTGACTTTAGACAAACAATTCAAAAGACAAAATGTATTTAAAGACCAATCTTTATTTGAAGGTGCCTCTTAACCTGAGATATTAGTTATACAGTAATAGTATTGACAATCTAAAAAAACTGAGCAACTCAACAGTCAACTTTATATTTCTTATTGTCTAAAGCATTTATTATTTTCATTTCCCCTCTCATATTCAGTGTGGATGGATTGAGACAGCGTGGTGTCCAGAGAGCTGCAGAGACTTCAGAGAGAAACCTCCGTGTGATGGACGTCCAGTCTGTTAGTTTGGAGAGGACTGAGGGTCGTTCCTCTGCGAGAAGGACCAGGCCTGATGGAGGAGCCCATGCATAGCTGATACCACCTGATCAGGCCTAGTCTGTCACTTTATTTGACTAAATGTGTTTACTTATACATTTAATAGGTTTACACCTTCTGTCCATATGTGCTTTTTATTTAAAACATGTTTGATTAACTTTTGGTTCACATTTCAATAAATTGAATTTGTATTTGCACTCCTTTTTTCCATTATTCTTACTGAAAATGTTAGATTACACATTCACATCCGACTGAAGATTGGCCCCATTTATTTGCGTTGCAAACTCTGTGGTACAAGGTACATGTTGTGAAGCTCATGAAGTGAGGCAAACAGAATTAATCAGCTGATGGAGTGTAGATGTGGAAATAGGTGCATTCGATCAGCTGACTGTGTTTTCACAATAAAAATAGTTTCTTAGTGAATGTCCTGAGGCCTGTACTACGAAGCCGGATTTTCCTAACCTGGATATGTTTGAGTTAGCCGGTTGGCCCAATCCAAAACATACGCGCTCTCGCTAAGCTGTACTACGACGCTGGTTATCAAGTGGATCGCTCAAGCCAGCCGTGTCCTATCTAGTTAGGTGCGCGTTCACATGAAAGGGGTGGTATTTGGAGCATTCGACCAATCTCAAACATGGACAAGCGTACTAACAGCGCAGCGTCATACTTCCTCAATGAAAAGTGAACTTTAATATTAGTCAAATATGAAGAAGTTAAACTTTAAACATCCATGACTTAAACACTTTATCCAGGATAAAAGTCACATAGCTGCACCTGCAAGGTGAATACAGCTGGTAAAAGAAAAAGCATTTGAATGCGTACATTAACAGGTTTATGATATCACTGCCCCGTCCAAGACACGAGTGGATCTGACTTTAATTACATTTGACTCGAGTGTTTCGTCAACTTAATGTGTTGCTTAAAATAATACTTCTGCGTACAGTATGTGACACTGTGAGTGTTGCACGGCCAGATACGGCTCAAGAAGCTGACTCAAATAAGGAAATATATGATACATTATGATGTGATATGATATGAATGATAATGGGACACATCGACGTCTGCACTCACAGTGCCGCGGACTGTACTTAATGTTACTCTGATCCGGTTACTTATGTTGTGGCAGATATTTAAGTAAGCTTTCTTAACGCTAATGTTATAATAGTCAGATTGCTCTGAAGATGGGAGGGGATATTCTATTAATTTTCACGTTCACACAGTCAGTTGATTTTTGCCGGCCGTCTTTCCTGCAACGGCAGTTTTTCTGTATTTCCTCTATCCTGTAATATGACTTGATAGCTTTAAACTCCGCACACGGAGCTGATTGGTCAGCAGGCGGTGCTTTCACTGAGTTGATCTCTTAGCCTGCAACCTAACCTCCTCCCGAGGAGGTTAGCCACTCAGCATAAGTTACCATGGAGATCTAGCCCGCTAAAAAGAGAACCAGCGTCGTAGGACCGGAAAGCCAGAGTTTTCCCTGAAGTCAGCCGGCTAAGCGAAAATCCGGCTTCGTAGTACAGGCCTCTGTACTGGTCTTAACATCTCATAACATCAGCTTTTAATTTTCCTATTGGATGTTTTTCTTGACCCTCGGAGAAAGAGGAGATGCTGAGTCGTGTCTTTCAGGCATGTCCTTTCCTAACAAAAATTACAGGAAACATAAAGCATATTATTGCAGAACAAGTGTGTTATTTATGAAAGAGGTGTGCTTGTGTTTAGGGGCTGTAGATATAATTATTTTGTAATTGTAATGTTTTTTTTTATTTCAACAGTGAGCTACAAAGACAATCAGATTATGAATGAACAGTATGAAATTCATCAACATTGAAATGTATTTTATTATCAAAATAATATTTAACTGTTATTAAAACAAGCTTGCTCTGTTGTCTCACTGAAAGAATAACTTTTACCACGTTTTTACAGACAATATTGAGAGATAAATAGCAGTTGTCACTATGCGTTAAATATCTTTGCCTTCAATACATTCAATTAGAAAGCTGACAGTCATATTGCTTGTTAACATCTAAATGTAACCCTTTGCATGGAAAAAACCCTCAACTTCACTGATGTGTAGGTGATCTAGTATTTAGTATTGTTTAATGGAATGTATAGCAGTGTATTAAAGTCAATACTTCATTTATTTAAACCAATATCTTTCTTGATTCTTTGTACAGTACTGTATGAAAAAAGAGTATTTGTACCTGTGCTGAAGTTCAGTGCTGTGAGGAGTCCAGTTCTGTCTCTCACTCTCTGGTCCAGCCTGTCTGCATCACCTGGGCACTTTAAACAAACAGATATATATGTAAAGAACCATGTGTACAAACAATATAACTGATTATCTTCTGTTGAACATGTTGGATTGTGTATTGCCCGAGTCAGGGTCCTTTTTATTTTACTGTAACTTTGGAAGTTGTGTTACCAATGCTTACTGTTTATTTGATACCAATTTGGTAATGCAATTAATAAAAACAACAAGGTTTGGGTTCGTTCTTCAGATGACTGTGATGTTAACGTGTAAGCTCAATAATGAACTCCAGCTCAACCATCCATATTGTAATATCTAAGTAATCATCTTGAAATATGACATTAATAATTGTAATATACACACATCTTATTGTGAGGTTGATTTCACATACACTACTTCGACATTAGCCTGTCTACATACTTGAGCATAGCCAATTTAAATTAACTTTAGCGATGCATACAGTTCCTACCTACATAATAAAATATCTCTAAGTTACAAGGATGACCTTATTTTATCAACCTCAAACAGAAGCCTTTTGTTCTACAGTATTATCCCACTTAACGCTTAACACTTGTCTATTTCGTTTTAACCTTTATATATACAGTCTATGGTTTTAAGTTAACTTGGAGGCTAAGATTAGCATCGTTAGCACCGATGTAGCTACCACTCGCTTACACGCTAACCCAAGCCTTAACATTCATTATGTAGCTGATTGAAATCATAAACACATAAAGTACTCGAATTTCACTTACCGCAAAACGGCATTCATGCACCGTCTGTTTTAACCGCAGAGCGAGTCACAATAGTCCGATATATAAGCATGAAGAACAAACAAACACGGCCGGGGTCAAGTTGTGTTCCCTGGATGAACTGAGCAGGCAGAGTCCCTGTAGCTTCACGGAGACGGAGCAGCTAGCAGAGAGACAAGAAGCTAACAGCAGCAGTCACTTGACAGAGCTCATTCAATGTGACCACGCCCTAATTTATGCAAAAACTTTAAGACCTAATATAAATAAAAGGGTCATGTTAGAAAACAATTCACTCACAGATTCATACTCATGAAGGTGGAATCTAACTATATACATAATAATATTTATTGCATCCAGGGCTAGAAACGTTTTTTTTCTGCTGTGAAATTGGGCATTTTAACATGGGGTCTATGGAAATTGCTCCTTTCTGCAGTCATCGCCTATCGGCCAATATATGAACTGCAGTTTGTGGCACTTCCGTATTGGCGTCCCGGCTCTTCCCCAGAGTTTGCCGCTTGCCCATATGCCGTAAATTGTTGTTTCTTACACGACCACTAGAGGTGCTAAACTTTAAAACGTGACTATAGGTCGTAATAAGCTGCTGAAAAATCGACCTATTGGTCAGGCTGGTTTTTGCAGACGGTTGCAAGCTAATAGTGAAAACGGACACCAAAGACTATAAATGAAATCAGAAATTCTTACTTACTCACCTAATACTTTATTTTGGAATTACTTTACTGATAGGTATTTGTGATTTGTTGTGTTTTCATAGTCCCTATAATATGCAGTATTTATATTATATTAATTTTAAAAGAAAAGAGATGAAAAAGCGGAATAATTTCTGAAAAGATAATGCGGCCTGTTTAAATAAGTTGTTGGCCTTATGCAGCTGATCAGTGTTTGCAACGATATAAGATTAGTGGTCAAAAGAAGTACATGGTGTGTTAAATGAGGGCAAGCAGGTTAGGGCTAGTAAGGCTTTTTCTCTGTCTGTAAATTGGACCCTTGGGCCCTGCAAAACTGACAGTTTCCTCCAGTGAACCACACGGGGCGCTGCTGCTCTCCAACCCATGACGCTTGACGGGACATTGAAAGTGTATGCAGCACATCAGGGACCAGCGGAGGGGAGAGTTGAACAGTAGTTTTCATAACAGAAAGAGTTGCCCAAGTTGCACAAAAAAATCACGTTTGCATCCTGCCACACGCTGGAGGTGTGATAAAGCATCTTGTTAGTTAATTTCATTGCAGTTCTTGTCAATGCGAGCTGTCAGCGGGCCAGTCAGTCCTCTCTGAAATATCCTCTCATCTCACAGCGGAGTGTGTGGGCGCCCGGTGCCCAGTCCGTGTGTGTGTGAGAGTCTGAGTGTGTGTGCAGAGTCGGGGAGTTGTCAGAGCACTAAAGCTGAGAGTGGGGGGGCATTGTGAGTGAGGAGTTGAGAGAAAAAGAGACATAGAGGAGGAAAGAGAGGAGGAGAGTTGAGTGAGAGTGTGTGAGTGGGAGAGAGAGTAAGAGAGAGAGAGAGAGACCTCGGCAGAGAGGAGGAGAGAGAGAGGGGAGGAGAGCTCCGTCTCTCCCGGTGCACTTGGCAGTCTAGTTGCGGGCTGCTGTGCTGTTGCTGTCGTGGCGTGGCTGGTCGCGCCAGGCGGGGAACTTCACCACACTGGAGCCCGGAGTCCCACTCTCTCACCTGCGCAGTTCGGAGCTGCCATGGGTCTCTCGCATGGATTTACTGTCCTAATTATTCTACCGGCCTTTCTGCTGCACACCAGCGGCCTTTACATCGCCAGTAGCGTTGGTACGTACAGTAGGCTACAATTTAACGTGGTCAGTGTTTATGTTCTACGTATCTGCTGATCTCTTATCTGCACGGGCTCTTCATGCGCTCTCTGGAAGTCTGAAGCTCAACGAAACGGCAAAAACACTGTCCGGTTTCTCCTGCTTGGGTTTAATGTTGGCATGCTTTTTGCAGCTTTTGCAAACAACATTGTAGGAAGCATTTGCAACTTCTGTGCGTCCTGCTGTGGTGTTTGCAGGGTCTTCCCCTCCGCGGTGCAAGCAGTGTTGTGATTTTCTTTCTCCCACTATGTGGATAATGTTATCTGGAGTGTAAAAGGGCATCAGATGCACGGGTTTACTGTCGGGTTTTGCAGGGAAGTAGCCTAACATTATCTGATTCTGCCGCTGTCGCATCTATCGATCTGTCACAGGACGCTGGAGTCGGATGTCAGCCTATTGATCACACTATTATCAAATCATCCCTTTGACAGGGGGCTCAAGAAATATTAACAGCTTGTGTTAGGTTTTATCAGTCTGCAAACTTTAAATTAAATCTGACCGTTAAATAACCAAATAATAATAATACAATATCAAGTGCATGCGAGGACCAAAAATAAGCTGTTGGCATAACTCTCTGTGTCTCTCTGTTTCTGATGGAATTGACACCTTGAAGTGCCCTGTGTGTGTTTATGTGTGTGTATTATGTGTGTGTGTGTGTGTGTCAGGTCGCCTAAAAAATGCACGTGTTGTCACTGTCACATTAAATGTTGTTTAATCCAAGGCAATGTCGGACGCATAAATTGACTTTAGGTGTCATTATAGTGCATTATTTATCACGTATTTAAAGATGATAATGATGACAGGATAAGTATTTTTAAATGCATTTCGATGTGGATCATAGCCTATTTATTAAAAGCGCGTTTTAGGATAATTTGTTTTCCTTTTTATATTCATTTGGTGTAGAGGTTATTGAAATCACTTCTCTCGGATCGAGCAGCCTGACGGTGAGAAAACAGCGTGAGAAAGCCGCAATTAGCACCTTGATCTTGTACTGGCTTTCCTGTTGACGGTAGAAGGGCACAGAAGGTGTCAGGAGCGCAGCGCGCACTGCTGAGGCTGCCGTTTCCAAACGCGCACTGCCGAGCACCGGGGTCGCCTCTGGGTTCATGGGTGGGGCTGTGTGCGCGTGTGTTTGCGCGTGCGTGTGTGTGTTAAAGGTTACCGCTTGCATTTTTTTGTTGTGTGTGTTTCCTGTGACGCAGAATAAGGAATAAATAATTCCATGGCATGCTTGACATTTCTCTAATCCTTTATTTTTCCGCCTTACCTATTTCCCCACCCCCCTATGCCCACTCCACTCATGATTCCTCATTTTCTCCATCCTGTGGTTGATTTCTCTTATCTTAAAACTCCAATGTTCTTCCTTCCTCCTGTTTTCCACATTTTCCAATCTTCTTACTCAACCAAAATAACAATCTCTCTCACCTGTCCCTTCCTAATGCTCTCCTGTCTCTCCCACTTCCCTCCCCTTTATTTTCCTGTTCCCAGACTCCCTGCAGCATGTCCTGGGGGAGTATGGACTGGTGAGGCCGATCAGTGTGGACGCAGAGGGCCGCTTCCTGTCACATGCCGTCTCGGCTGGCCGCATGGCAGGAGGGCAGTCCCGTAGGCGCCGGAAGAGGGAGGTAGGAGTAGGCAATGATGAGTGGGAAGGACCAAAAGGAGAGCCAGGGGCCTTTCAGGAAAGGCTTTACTACAACGTCACAATCTTCGGCCGGGAGTTCCACCTGCGCCTGCGCCACAATGCCAGGCTGGTGGCCCCCGGAGCCAAGATGGAGTGGCATGATGACAGCGACAGCGCCCGGCACTCTGAGCCTCTCCACGATGAATGCTTGTACGTTGGGGACATCGCAGACACACCAGGAGCATCTGTTGCTATCAGCAACTGTGACGGCCTGGTGAGTGGACAACCTGTGTTACCTGTTATCTGTCAGATGCTGTAGTGTTCACTGAGCTCGCTGTGGACAGTAGGACATGAGGACATACAAGAGAGCAGAGGATGCTAGCTGTTTTGCAGGGAGGAATGCTGTGTATAAAAAGGCAAGAGATTGTTGCCCTTTGACCCCTGTCCTCCTTGGTCAGTCTTTCAGGTTAACTTCACAGCTCAGAGTCCTAAGAGGCTGAAGTCCTCTAAAGTGGGTAAATACCCGAGTTATTTTTTCATCACTCTGGTGTGCAGGTAAAAGGGTGATGGTATTATTAAAGGATTCATCTGATTGTCCATGGATAAGTTCATATGCTTTCAAAAAATATATTTCTCTGGCTTGTCCCTTTCACTAGACATGGATGCTGAAGGAGGATTTGAATTGAGGCTGCCACTGTAACATATTTTGGTTGTACAACAGTTGCTCAAAGAGCCTGAATTGTAAATGCTTTTAAAAGAGCTGACGATGAATAGAGGAAAAGGAAAAGAGATGGCAAACAGTTGGTGAATGGCCGTCGGCAAGAGAGGGAAGTGAGACATTGGCCGTGTGAAGAATGTGCACTGCTGAGATGAGAGGATGCAGAAAGATGAAGACCAGTGTGCCCGAGGAAGAGGTGGAAGCGACAAGTGAGAGAGATAAGCCGCGGGGGGAAAAGGCCAGTAAATAGGAGTGAAAATGGGCAAAAGGATGTGTACAGGGAATGATGAGATTGAGGGGAGGAGTTCCCCTCATTAGGAAAAGTGTTCATTAGTCATCCAAATCAGCCCGCCACTGGAGCTGAGTAGCAGCGACTGGATCCGTTTAGGGTTGAGGACACAGGGGACAGAGCAGCTGAGAGCAGGCAGGGAGCCAGGCACAGGCCTGACATGCCCACTTAGCCTGACACCAGCCGGCAGCAACTCACTGCCGCTCGCTTCAGCCTGTCGTTCCAAGGCCTATTGGCAATTTCTAGGAAAGGTTGCTCAAAGTGTTATAGATAACAGATCGTCCCAGTCTGACTGCACTGCAAGGCATGCCAGGATTTTTAAGGATAGGTTCACACGCTTTCAAGTCTGTCTTGCATCAAATGATACTCATGCCTATGTGAACTTTATGTGTTGTGTTGGTTACTAGTCATTCTTCCTATCCATATTGAAATTCGTAATGTGACTCATATTAAATAGATGGGACACGGCATCCTCAGTCTTTCTTATCTGCATAAATGCATTCTTAAAGGTAACCTATAGTTTTGTTGTCCAGTGGTTGTGCGTTGAAACAATGTGTTCAATGTTGTTTCAATCACTAGGATGGACACACATGCATATATTCAAAGTTTCATGAATCAAGTTGGTATCTTAAAAGATTTTCTTCACTTTTAAGCACAAATTCTCTTTTTTCTTCACTGTCTTTCAACCATTTTTCAAACGGAAAAATAATAAAAAAGGGCCAGAAGAAATTATGAGCATGTCAGTATTGTTTCTAATAAATGCTAAAAAAATATGTACCTATCATTTTAACAAATCATGTTTCTTTAGGCTGTTTTAAAATGTAATCTCTTATAATTTGACTGTGACTGTTGATGTGTAAAATAATATTGTCACAATGCAAATTTACAAGACAAACATTATTGATATCTGCGCTGTCATAGCCACACCAAATAATCAAAACACAAAGGGAAAACCCTTGTAATTATCACATTAGTGCTGTCCACTTATATTTAATTTGTTTCTCCACGCCCCTGAACAACTCATGTCATTACTAATCAATTCTTACAGCCTCCTTAGGCATGCCAAGGAACACAGCCAAGCTCTGTCAGACTCTGCCTATCAGCTCTGATCGCATCTGCCTGTTCAAACCCAGCAGAGCCACGTAGTCCCGCCCTGTCCCGCTGTGCCCCTTCCTCAGTGACCCGGCCACCTGGTCGGAGCCTTTTCTGCCCTGGGTTGCCATTTCCAGCCAAGAACCTCTTCCTGGCTGCAATCCAGGGTGTGTGATGAGGGGAAGAAGAGAAAGCAAGCGGAGACAGGGCCAGATAGGGTTCAAACCAAAATACAAGAAAATAACAAGAAAGAGGCAAAGGAGGGGGACATAAAGAGGGCAAAGGGTATAGGTTTCAACAAATGACCAGAATAAATAAGAGAGCACGAGGGAGCGCATGGCAAAAAGGAAAATCTTTGAATGGACAAATGACCTTTGGAGGGAATTGGATTTCTGTGAACAGAAGCTGTGATCAGCTGGTTAGTTCTCTGGATGGTTGAAAGGAAGGCAGCACTGTGTGTGTGTGTGTGTGTGTGTGGTGTGTGTGTGTGTGTGTGTGTGTGTGTGTGTGTGTGTGTGTGTGTGTGTGTGTGTGTGTGTGTGTGTGTGTGTGTGGTGTGTGTGTGTGTGTGTTGTGTGTGTGTGTGTGTGTGTGTGTGTGTGTGTGTGTGTGTGTGTGTGTGTGTGTGTGTGTGTGTGTGTGTGTGTGTGTGTGTGTGTGTGTGTGTGTGTGTGTGTGTGTGTGTGTGTGTGTCATCAGTGCAGTGCTGATGAAATTAACTGCCGCTGAGACTGTGCGTTTGTGTGTGCTGACTCTGAGTGCAGAATAGCATGAATCAAACTAAAATAAAATCTCATAAGCTTGGGAGGTTTCCACTTCATATGTGAATGTTTGGGTGTGCAGTGTCTGTGAACAAATATTGGTTTGAATGCTTCCTTGTAGATGGCTGAATTCTATTTAGCTGCTTTGGTTTTAGGGTCCTTGTTTTGTGCATGCTGGGTCAAATCATTCTAATATTCTTATCAACAATTTTCCCATGTGTCAAACAGCAGCTGCGAAAAACACTGTCAATTGTTTGGTATGTACAAATGCTGTAGTACAAAGGGTTTGAAGTGATGACAATTTTCGCGGATGTTTTGGTCTAACACTAAGTTTCTCCTCTGCTATATTGATGCAAAGTGAAGGGCGCTTGCCTGTTGGATACAGCCACTCTCTAAAGTCATATATCAGATGTGTTACTGATAACTTTACCTTTATTTTAACAACATTCTGTTTATGTTCATTTTAGCCTTAAAGGTAATAGAAAGAAACCCTTTCAGAACCAATGTTATTTTCGTAATGCTTTGGGATGAATAAGGTGAAATTCTGAAAAAAGGTAATTTCTTCTCAGGGCTGTATTTTCAGACACACACAGACTCACAATGTGAGATGACTTCAGATTTTCTGAGTGGATTTTGTTAAGACATCACAGAACGTACCAAGATCTCAATTCCTGAATTTCCTGGTGATCACATACAGGCATGTACAGTATGTGTGTGTGACAGTGTGTCTGAACCTCTGTCCCCACTTGTGGCCTTTCCTTCAGCCTCACCTACAGTATTTGTTCAGGGATGTGGGGGATGTTAGCTGTTGGCCTGATTTTGTACACATGTGGGTGTGAGGTCAGGTGCATTCATGTGTGTGTCTTATGTGGAATGTCGAGTGTCAGCAGAGCTACTGCTTTTCCTTTTTCTAGAAGAAACTGAGACATGGTGATGGGAATTACAAAATTAGTGCCATTTCATTTCTCCATGCTCAATAATTCTGTCATTATGATGTGCTAAATGAGTTAAGTGGGGACTGTCACACTGTACACCAGGGCTATTCAATTAGTTTGGAATGGGGGCCGGTTGATGAAAATGATTCAAAGCAAGGGGCTGGGAAAAAGATGGCTTGAAATATGAGCAATCATATTAAGAGCTTCAGATACAGTAAATACTACAACAGCATAGTGGAGTGCATATATTGTGTTTAATTAAATCAAACAACATAGCCCCAAGGCCTTTATAGATCTAAATGGCAAGTTCAGAACTCAGTAGGCCTACATGTGAAGCTAATTTAACCATCAACATCATTTCATTTGATTTCATTTAGGTGAAATGATCTAATCATTCACGCAGAGATGCAATAAATGACAGGAGTTGTCACTACAGTAGCTAGTGTCCGGCAGTGGCTCAGTCAGTAGGGGCTTGGACTGGGAGCTGGAGGGTCGCCGGTTCAAGTCCCCGACCAGACCTAAAATATGGAGTATGGACTGCTACTTGGAGAGGTCCCAGTTCACCTCCTGCCTTGCCGTGGTGCACTTGAGCAAGGCACCGAACACCCCCCTTCCCCCCTCACTCCCATTGCTCCCTGGGCGCTGTACAATAGCTGCCCACTTCTCCTAGTACTAGACTCCTGGTACTAGGATGGGTTAAATGCAGAGAACAAATTGCACTGTGTGTGCTGTGTGCTCTGCATGTGTGACCATTAAAGAGGGTTTCATCCCTCCCAATTCTATTGTAGGTGGGTTCGAAACCCGAGCCCGCCAAAGTTTTCAGGCAATGTCTTCCCCTCTATCTCTCAATGTAACACCCTCTCTGGATTAAAGGCACTCTTTAAAAAAGATTAAAATAAAAAAAAAATAAAAGTAGATTACTTTTAACATTATACTCCAAGGGCCAGTAAATATCACCCCGGGGCCGTATTTGGCCCGCGGCCGCCAATTGAATGGCCCTGCTGTACACAGTGTGCTTACACTGTCTGATAGCAATGCTGTCACACTCACTCAGAGATGCTTTCATTTTCACTTTGGAAGTTCATTATTTTTCATTGAATACATTTGAGAAACATGTCTATTTAAGGTTTTTTGGCATTGATACAAGTAAGTACTTCTATTGGTTATTAATCATGTTAACTACCAGAGTCAGAACATGTTCTTATGTTCACAGTCATGATTTAACAAGGTGAAGTGGGCTTAACCTTCAAGTAACCACAAGCACAGACAGAAACACAGATTCTGTGGATTGCGATTCGTTTTAGATATGAGCAGTCCAAGTCCAATAGTCTTAAATATCCTTAAATTACCCCAATGTAATTAACAGAAAAATACAGTCATAATGTTTAAGCTGTTAGATAATTAAAATAATTACCATACTTTACCTGTTGACACACGCACATCAACACATACTCTGATTGCAGTGCTGCACGTCCACAA